TTGATCAAGTCTTCCCGATAAATCAAACTTTATTTCAGTTGCGAGAACAAATACTTGGCAAAAATATATAAGGACCGGGATGGATAGTGCCAGACTGTGTGGGTAATAACATAACTTTAGATGTAAATCATGTATTCATTAAGAATTAGGGAATGTTTTGGTGTACTTTGTTATTTTAAATGACAGGAAGTCTAGTCATGGTGTACTCTTTAACTCTTTGTAGGCATTAAAGTTACAGTAACATGCAGATGTATTAGAATCATAGATATTATGAAGAAATTCTTCACTGTGAGGATGGTCAGACACTGGAACAGGTTGCCCAAGTAAGTTGTGGATGCCCCCTCCCTGGAAGTGTTCAAGGCCAGGCTGGATGAGGCTTTGAGCAACCTCATCTAGCGGAAGGTGTCCCTGCTGATGGCAGGGGGGTTGGAACTGGATGAGCTTTAAGGTTCCTTCCAACCCAAACTGTTCTATGATAACACGAAGGGCTAACCTTGGCCACACTGACATATGAAGAAAAGCCAGAAAAATGTGAGCTGTTTAGCCCAGAGGAGGGAGGATGTGCTCACAGTCTTCCATCACCAAGAAACTAGTTACAGAGGAAAATGGAGGTGCACCTTTCACAGGGGTGCAGGGCAGGAGGCTATGGGAGTGAGTTGCTTCACAGAAAATTCGGTGTACAGGAAATGTTCTTCACATAGATGAAGTAGAGCAGTTTACCACGAAGAGGTTGCCCAGTGAAGTGCTGGAGTCTCCCTTGAAGGGTTGGCCTGTCAGAGCCCTGGGTCATCTCATCTAAGGCCCGGCTTTCCACAGAAGGTGGGACCAACGATCTCCAGAGGCCCTTGGCAACCTAGACACTTCTGTTGTGTGATTTACATGGCTAAGCTGTTGCAGTTTGCCACTGAGCTGAAACACAGGCTCTGGTTTACATGGGGTCTTTCCTGATCTTTATGAATAATGCTAATAATAATGCTAATTGTCGTGAGAATTCTTGAGAAATTTATGAGCTTAAATTTAATGTGTGGCCATAGTAGCTGCAATACATTAAATAACCAGTGCCCAGTGTATTGTACGTAATGGCTGTGCAGCCAACTGTGCAAACAGTTTTCTGAAAATTGGGACTGCCAATTTGAAACTATTTCAGGATGCCTTAATTTTTGGCTAATGAGCATAGTCTAAGCCTTCAGTTAGATTTAAAATCACAATCATCTAAATGAATATGTTGTTTGAAGTTGTGAAGTTTTTGCTCAGCCAGAGAGAGGTTTTTGAGTTCTCTTATACGGGTTTTTAGATCAGTGTTCTGCAGATGTACATACATGTCTGTTAACAAATTCTAAGCAGGGGATTGAACCATAAATCTCGTCTTTCCCAGTTTTACCTTGAGGGTACTAAGTTTGTCTTTTTGACAAGTTCAGGGTCACCGAGTTTAGCAAGCCCCCTGAGCTGGCACTGCTGCAGGAAGAGATGCTGTTACCCTTTTATTTTTAAGACTTTGTTCCTGCAGTTCTGTGCTTCCATGGTGAATTAGATGGGGAAACTCAACTAAATCAAAGAGAGACTTGTTAAAAAAAAAAAATAAATTGGTGAATTGGTTTTGGTTCACTGCACTGCAGCAGAAACAATTGCATTTGTTGTCAGCAAGCAGGGTGTTATAGGATAAAATTTTCTACGCAGTGCTGATCCATTCTAACTTAAGCTGTAGTTTATCAAACACTAAGGGAGTAGGTACAAAAGTAAAAAAAAAAAAAAGGTTTAATTACAGAACTTGCTGGCTTAGAGCCTTCATAATTATTTTTGTCTATAGTTATTGCATTCAGCAACAGTAGTTTTTAAGTAATCTCATTGATAGTGTTTCATGCATGATCAAGTCAGTAGTGTGAGATTTTGCAGGTGAATTGAACTCTCCGAGTCTCTAAAGTCTTTCAGATTGTGGTGCTTCATGGTGCTTTTTGTAGCATGCTTACTCAGTTTCTCAAATCGGTTCCTTCAAATGCTCTCTGAATTCTCCTGTGGAACCATGGTCTTTGTCCATGCCTGAAGACTATGAGCTCTGAGTCTGTCATCAGAGATGTCCTTATTTGCTTGTCTTGGAGGGGACCTTAAACAAATTATTCCTGTTTTGTAAGCTTTCAGCAGGTTAATTAAATTTATTAATTTATCTAAATTTCATCTGTCAAGCTTTGATGCTTGACTTCCTAGATTAATACACGTGCAGTAACTAAAGTGGTACAAGGCATGAAGAAAAGGTACAGAAAAACTGATGTGAAACTTCAGGTTGTCTTACAAAGGACTGCCCTCTGTGGAAATCACTGTACATAAAGTTTTTATGCTTCATGCTGTGTGTCAGCTAAAGTGCTGTTAAGAGTTGTCTTTGTTAGTCTTAGAACATGTGTCTGTTAATCTTCTGTGGGGCAGGGTGGTGTATGGAGTAAGGATGCGGTATCTCGACAGCTGTATCGGGACCTCTATGTCCAGTGGTGCCAGATGTTCTTGCCCATCATAGGAGAATTCCAACACACTGTATGAGCTGTTCCTTAGTCATGCTGGTACTATTAGCACAGGGAATCAGCTCTAAATTGAGTAAACTGAAACTTAACTATGCATAAAACCACTTTTTACATTCACTTACCTGATATATGTATTTTTAACTATAGATGAGATTTATTGTCTGTGGTTTTGGACCTAGTTTGCCACAGTTTCTAGTGCTGAAGTTGGCATATTGTTTGTGCCTCACTGGAAGTAGCTTAAACATAGTGTGAAAATGTCTTTTAAGTAGTTTCAGTAAAAGATTGTCAGACTTAGTGTTTTTGAAAATTGGAAAATATACACAAAGTTTCAAATAAATAATTGACTGTAACTGAATGATAAATTACTTTCTTTTTTTTCTTTCTTTTTTTTTTTTTTTTTTAATAAAAGGAGTGGTTTTGCTTGAAATTTTGCGTTATTGTCCGGAGTCCAGTTTTGGATTACACAGATCTGTTCATTGGCAAAATTTGATATAAGCCTTGAATTGTTAGCTTTGCACTTTGAAAGGCAATTTTTTAGTCATCAGATGGCTTAAAAGATACTCTTGTTCCATGCAGAAGTAAGTACCTTTGTGTGCAACATACCTTTTTTGAGTTTCTATACTCAAAAACTTTATTTGTAATAATAATAGTAAAGAGATGTATTTTAGAATCCAGTTATTACAGGGTAAGTTTACACTTTATTTCTGCCATGAATAGTTGCCATAATGGAGCTGTACGCTGTTCTGTGTTTGATTTTTTTTCTTCTCCCCGCCACCCTCCCAAGGACCTAAGAGTTGGATGGAGGGATTTGTTGAAGAGGGAATGTTTGTGTTCAATATCCAAGCAGATTATAGGTTAAAACCTTTTGTTTGTAAGAGTGGTATGAAAAGCAATGTAAAAGCTGAGGGTTAAAGTGAAAGACAGTGTAAAATCAAGTAACTTCAGCTTAACCAGTCACCACTATTCAGCTTAATTGTGGCCACCGCTTGTGCCATGATAAATGATAACAGTTTTGAGGCAGAAGTTGTTGACTTAAATTCTGCTTGTGAATAGCCTCATGATGACTATAGCAGCTGATCACCCCGCTGGTAGGGATGTCACCCTGAGAAGCTGTGCCATTTTATTGAGATCAGTGCCTGCTGCATCATAATTTTAAAGCACAACAACTGCTGTGTTTTAAGTTGAAGAATTCTTTTGGAGGTATGTTTTGGGCTGGCTCACATCACCATTTTTTCTTTGATCTTACTGTTTGTGGTTCTGATGCAGAACCACATGCAGAAATTAAGTGGCTGTAGAGGCTTCTGTCCACATCTGTCTCCTCATCTTCAGAGGTGCGTTCTACTGATGGCTGAGGTGGTTCACCAGCTTGTGAGGCAACTGCAAATTATAACTTAGTCTCCTAAGGAAAGCTGGCATTAACTTTTGGTTTTCCTTAGCATGCTAAACTAGTTCTGCCTGTGTAGCCGCTGTTTCACAGTCCATCATCTTATCTGGTGAAAGAAGAGCAAGAGTTTCTAGAAGGACTAGCAGATGCAAGTGTGGTTGGCAAATTATACATCCAGGTAATTTTAATCTGAGTCAGAATTTCCAAAGTACCACTACATGAGCATTTTTCTTTCATAGGAAGCTATCTCAGGTTCCTAACCCCGTGCTGTTTCTTTGGTGCTCTGTAATGCAAGTAATGCTACTGTTTGGGGGGCCATGCTTTTAGCTAGGTGACTGCAATGGTTTGAGGAAAAAACAAAACCTTCAAAGAAGGTGCTGGTTAACAGGTTATGGTAGCCCACGTTTATGGAAGGAAGTGAGCTGTGGACAAGAAAGATGTTCTGCATGCTAGCTGCTGCTCTTCTGTATTGGATACTTGGATTTGATGTGCTTGATTTTAGATGTTTAATTAAGTTAGTCATCTAGGCGCCTTTATAGCACAGGACAAGAAATAAGTACCTCTAGATGGTAATGCACCCTGTGTGCTGCTTTATACATTGATGGGTTACAAAGGAGGCTGTGCTGTTGACACAAAACTTCTAAGCATCTGAAACTGGGTTTGGGACATAATGAGAGGCAGCTCACTTGCCTTTACTGCATGTTTGGGAGGTTGTTCATGTAAGAATTCATCACAAAGAACTAGTGTTCTATATGTTAATAACCTAGTTTACTTTGTACTGTTTTTTTCAGGTAAGCAGGCCCTTAGGTTAATATCGTATCATTACTGTATAAAAGGAGGGCTGCTGGCTTATATGAAAGGCTTTGTTGAAACAGAGAAATGTTTACAGTACAAAGAATATAATTTTGTCCAGTAGATAAATTTCCTGTTTTCTGAGCTAGGCTCTATGTGTTGCATCCCTTGTCAAAGGCTGAGAATTTATGCATAGTTATTTCTACTTCTGCAACCGTTTGTTAATTTCCCCATGATATTTATGGTGGGAAGTGTAAGTCTTATCTTTTTCTTTTAGGTTGACAATTGCATTTTTCGCACTCTCTGGTCTGGATATGTTGGATTCCTTAGATGTGGTGAACAAAGATGATATAATAGAATGGATTTATTCCCTGCAGGTCCTTCCCACAGAAGACAGTGAGTGAGTTTTTAGTTTTTTTATTGATATTAACATCTTTACTTTTGCTTTTCACTTGGGTAATAGTGGATGGCTCTTGGTTTTTATAAAATACAAGGTTGACCTTCCTGAAGTGCTGTCCTGATAATTTCAGATAGCCATGTCAAGCAAATCCTAGAAATAGATCCCTCTAAAGTAATAAAGCTAGCAAAAGCGATTAGTTTGGCTTTTTTATGTTTACAAGGTAAAGCTATGAAATTAATTTTAAGATAAGACAGTACAGAATAGTAATGAAGTTGCACCTTTAAGCATCTCACAGGAATGTTTCACCTGGTTCTAAAAAAAAAAAAAAAAGCATATATTATATATAAGTATTACAAGTGTTAATAGTGTTTCTGTTGACTTCCACTCACTGTACTGAGCTCTGAGCTCAGGTATAGTTATTTGGAACAGCTTTTGGAAAATGGGAGGTGTAAGATTAAGAAGCAAAAGGGATAAATACAGTTCCTGCTTTACAGATCTAAGGAACAGATGTTTCATTTTAAAGGTTAAATTCACTGGAGGTTTTTAGAAAGAGTAGTGGTGTTGCTGCATCCCAGCTATCCTCAGATTGGAAGATTTGTAGCAGATCCAAGCCCAGCAGGGAGCACCCAGGCAGCGACCCTTTCCCAGTGACCTGGGAAGTCAGGGAGGTGCTGTTTCTGTAGGCTGAGTGGTATTGGCAGTTTTTGGTGTGGCAGTGCCGGTGGCTGGCTAATAGCAGTAGAGGGGGGTGGAAGGGAGGGAGCAGTGGGTGAGGCATTGCTGGTTTATGACAAGAGGTGCTGGCATTTTAAGTGCTGGTGTGGGGATAGCTCCAGGCTGATCTTAAGAGGTAATTCCAAGTGCCTGTCTGTAAGATCATGAATGTGTACTTTGTATGTTGGATAGTTGTAGAAAGAAAATTGTACATTTCCTTATAATATCTGGTCTAATTATATACTACAAATTAGGTCTCTTCCCTAAAAGCAGTTTTAGGAAATGAAAGAAGTTTTATGACATAAGCATATGAAAGTCAAGATTGCTGATGCTTGATTTTTACAGGAATAAAAAGATCCTTTTTCTTATTCTGGTGACTTACAAACTATCAGATCCATCCCAGGCATTAACTCTAATGGACTTGTTTTTTCCTTGTGTTGTATTGCAGGACTGATTATAGAAAATTAGGAGTTTGGATCCCATAATTATTTCCACAACATTTTTAATCACGAGGAGGTTCCTATCCCTTAGTGAAAAAATTTTCCAGGGTGCTTTGTTTTTAGAGTTGCTCACTTTCTGATCTTTATCCCAGTCTTCAGGAGTGTATTCTGAAAGAACAGTGAAGTTTACCAGAAGAGAGATTAGAATAGGCATTTTTTTGTTTGATAGCATGCAGTAATTCTCAGTAAGGTTTTTTTTCTACCTAGCCAATGTTTGGAATAGTGCCACTGTCAAGAATCTCCTAGGGAGAGCAGTATAAATCTCAGCACGCGGATGTGGAGTCTTAACAGTCCAGGGCGCAGCTGAGATGTGCTCCTTCTTTTTCTAGCTATTATCCCACCCTAAGATTACAGGACCGTAGTTTAGCAGAGCGTGCTTTTGGTGGTTTATTCTGTGTTTTTAAGTAATAAACCTCTCCTTTTTACCAGAAGAACAAGCTTCTCTCCAATGGTGTATTTTTGTATCACATCGTAAGAACGCTGTTCTTCTTAATCTCTCTTGCTTTTGGCAATAACACTACTCTATCTGGTCACTTAAGCCCTGAAACTTCAGTATTATTTTTATTCAATTTTTACTTCATCTGATGGACAACAGGTGATGCAAAATGTCAGTGATACCAACAGAAGCAAGTTGGATGCTGGATGACTTAAATGTTCAGAGGGGAATGTATACCCTCCTGTAATGTCTACTTGCAATAAAATGCATTTGCTTTCTGTTTTTTTCGTCCTGGGTGTGTGTAACATTTAATTGGCAGCCTGCCAGCCGTTAGAGCTCTGACTCCTTCTCTTGGCCTGTTCGAAGAAGTAGCTACTAGTAGGCTGCAGCAGTGAAGCTTATGGTTTCAAAATGTTTGTGTATCTCTAGTTAAGTTGCTAGCTTGATGCCTCAGAATCTTTCCAGATTTAAAAAAACCCCAAAACAAAAAAAAACCCGTGCCCCACACAAAAAAGAGTCCCCCAAAAAAACCCCAAATTTACTCTGCTTTTAAAGACACATTCTATTGCAGTTTCCTTGACATGCATCTTGACAAATGCCTCTTTCCAGGGAATATTGATTTTCAAACATTGATATTAGAACACTGTTTTATTATGTAGTTTCTGGAATGACGAATTCCAGTAATTTTGCCTTAAGTAACTGTGTTGTACTTGATATAAGTCTTCATTATTTTTGGCTCTGTAAATGAAAACCTATTTGAAACTTACTTCCATGCCAGGAAGAGCAGCAATGGTGAATTGACTGAATCCCCAGTCCCTGCCCCCTGTGCCACTGCAGGGGAAGGTAGAGACATCGGGAGCAAAGTGATTTGAGCCCAGGAAGAAGGGAGGGGTGGGGGCAGGTGTTGTAAGATGTGGTTGTTATGTCTCATTGTGCTACTCAGATGACTGGTAATGAATTAAATTGTTTTTTCTTCCCCAAGTTGAGTCTGTTTTGTCCGTGACCACAACTGGTGAGGGAGCCATCCCTGTCCTTCATTCCTAATCCCTTGCCCGCTTTGTTGTGACTCCCATCCCATCTCAGTGGGTGGGGGGAGTAAATGCAGGACCACATGGTCCTACTGTGGGTTAAACCATCACACCAGTCAATCAGAGTACCAATCAATCAATGAAAAATAATAACCACATCTTAAAACACGTTCTCCCCACCCCTTCCTTCTTCCTGGGCTCAAATCACTTTGCTCCCCATTTCTTTACCTCCTCCCTGCCAGCGACAGAGGGGGATGGGGAATAGTGTACCTAAACCTCTCTTTCCTCCTTAAGGAGATGGCTCCTTGCACTGTCCCACAATCTGGCATGGGATTCCTTCCACAGGCTAAAGGAGTTCAGGAACAACATGGGCTTCCCATGGAGTCACAGACCCCTTCGGGCACAGCTCCCAGCTCCAGCATCGGGACCTCCATGGGCTGGAGCCCTTCAGGCTCTGGCCTGAGCATCTCTGGGTTCTTCTGCTCTGTCACAAGCTCTCTGCATAGTCACAGCCACCTTTGGGCACAACCTCTCACTCTGGCATGTAAAGTCTTTCATGAGCTACATGTGGGTATCTGCTCTGCCGTTAACCTCCATGGGCTGCAAGGGAATAATCTCTGCTCACCTCCTCCCTCCTCTTTCCTCCTTGACCTGAGTGTCTGTAGTTGTCTCCTTCACATCCCCCCTCCTCTCTCCAGTTGTCTTCTTTGTTGTTGATGTTCCTGATCACCAAAGAACTCCTCTTCATAAATATGGATTCACAGAGGTGTTTTCACCATTGCTGACTGGCTTAGCCTGGGCTGGAGGCAGGTCCACCCTGGAACCAGGGGAGCTTCTCGAAGCTTCTCACAGGAGCCATTGCTGTAGCGCCTTCCCCCACTACCAGAACCCACCCCTCCACACAAACCCAACACACATAGCAAATTCAAATTAAAATTTTGAGAACAAGTGCTACCCTACAGTCATTTTTCCAGTAGATAGGAGACAGATCAGTTGATACTCTGCAAACTTAGTATCTGTTTATCAATAACTACTATAGTAGGTGTACTGGCTGGGATAGATTCATTTTTTCCATAATAGCCTGTACGCTGCTGTTTTGGGTTTATGGCTGAAACAGTGTTGGTAACACACCAGTGTATTGGCTATTGCTGAGCAGTGCCTGTGCAGCATCGAGGATGTCATTTTCCCTGCATTGCACCTCTTCTCCCCCAGCAGCTGTAGCCAGGGAACACAGCCAGGACAGCTGACCCTGACTGACCTGGGAGATACTGACCATACCATCTGACACCGTGTTCAGCAGTAAAAGCTCAGGGAAAGGAGGAGAAGGAAGGTGGTGGTTGTGGTTCTGGCATTTGTCTTCCTGAGTAACCATTATGCATGCTGAGGCCCTGCTTTCTGGGAAGTGGCTAAACACCTGCCTGGCTGATGGCAAGTAGTGAATGAATTTCTCCTTTGCTTTGCTTGTACCTGCAGCTTTTGCTTTGCCTATCAGACGGTCTCTGTATGAATCTGTGAGTCTTCTTCCTTTCTGTTTTCTCACCCTCCCACAGGAAGGGGAAGTGAGTGGGTGGCCGTGTGGGGCTTAGCTGCTGGTTGGGGTTAACCCACCACAGCAGGGTGTTACAAAACCTGGAAGAAAATTCAGAATTTTATGGTTTAGATAGAGACTCTGAGATAGAGTCTCATGATGTACTCTGACACATTTAGGTAATACACTTGTATTTACTGGTATGTGATATGTCTGATGGCTAATGAAAGCTTCAGTTCAGAGGTTTGTAGCCTTTGGAATCTTCTATGTGAAACTAAATGTCATTAACGCAAAGTGGTGAGATCTTGGATCTTGATCTCACTGGGTAAGAAAGCAAATGCAGGCTCTGTGAGCCTTATTTAAACTAAAGGAAGCCAAAGATTAGGATCTGTCAGGATAGACTGTATTCTTCTGCGGGTTTATGATAACTGTGATTAAAACAAATAATATCTTTTAGGTACCATAATTTCAGCTCAAGTGTTTTAGGGAGTGACTCAGTTCCAGTTCTAACTAGGAGGGAATGGCACGTCACACATATGAGCTGACCCTCACACAGAAACCTACCATCCTGAGCTGAATACTTGGTCTCATTGCTGTCCTCTGCTTATTTAAAAGGGTCTCTGTCTCCTGTAACTTTTGCAAAATGGTTTGGCTTTATAGTCCATAGATTTTGGCTGTTGTTACTTTTCCTTCAGTTTTAGTAAATGCTCTGCTTAGGTGCGTGGCTAGTACGTGGTGTTGTTTTGTTTGTGCGTTCACTGCAGAAAGACCTCCCTGTGTTTCCTCTTAGAAAGAAGTTGAAGTCTTTGGGGGAAAAAAACTTTTTCTTTTTGAGGAGGGTGGTGCTCTTTTACAAGCCTTAACAGAAATTATACATGTTTAGTCTAAGACATAATTTCAGAGTGGTATTGAAATTGGAAGAGGGTTGACAAAAAGACCTGTTTCAGCTGCCTGCTCTTAAGATTTTTGTCATGTCAGAGCTTTACTGTTTTTCCTGTCACAAAGCAGCTCCTAGACAGAATTTCAAATTTATTTTGTCTGTCTTAAAGTGCAACTCTTAGCAATGCAAGAAAGATTAATCCTAGTTTCTTGCAGGTCATATTTTAAAACAGTTCGGCACTTCTGAAAGACAGTGAATTCGGAGCTCTATGCTCAAGTAGTCTAATTACAGACAGAGTGGTGGAGGCACACTTCTTGGCAATATTCATCCACCATCCTCCCCCATAGCAACACTGGCACTTGTTTGACCCTGCTTGGGAGCTGGTATTGCTTGTTGAAGCAGGAGAAAAGCATGCATTTATTTCTCTAACAGAAGGTTAGCTGTGTGTTGGTTGTGTTGGTGAACTGTGTTGGCTGGGAGTGCTAGTGCAAGCCCAGTAAGGGAGAGGGAAGAGGACTGTACTTTTGACAGCTGGATGCTTCACTGGCTCTGCTGTGCTAAGAAATGGCACCAAAAGGACAGCTGAAACATACTGGATTTGTGGATCTGAACCGCCAGGAGCCATGCATAGCAGGCTGAAAACCATTATACTTCATCAGGGATCTAAAACTTTCTTTTGTCGAAGTCTGAATTTAGATTTGTAATAATAATGCTTCTTTCTCCTTGTGTGTCAGTACTAAAAAAATGGATAAAATGTCATTGGCTTTTTTTGAGGTAATTGTTACATGTCAGCTCTCTGTTCATGAGTTTCTTAAGCAGAAATGTGACTTTTCCTCCAACGTAACCTTCTTTAATGGCTACATTTGAAGTATTTGTGTGGATATATAATGGACTTCCATTTTAGAGAGTGCAACTTTGCATTTTATGACATATTCTAGTCCTTTGATGTATAAGAATAATAATTTTTTAGCCCTAGTTCAGTAGGAATTTCTTATGCTTACTTTTATCTGGATATACTGACTGTGTCAGCCTATCACAGTTACAGCTGTGATTTTTTTTTTTTATATATATTAGTAAGATTTTAATGATGTGTGTAAGCTTGCTTCTGTACTTAGCAAAATGAGAAAAATTGTGAAACCAGAAGAATGCATAGGTAACCTGAATGGGAAGGAGTGGTAAAAGTTATCAACCTTCCCTGGCAAGACAAATCATAAAAGATAAGTAACAAAAATGTCCTGTCTGTAACAAAGCTCCCAGGATAAGCTATCTGTGGTCATCACTTGGAGCTCTGTTACGTGTCTGAAGGACTTTCTGGCCTATGCTCATGTAAGTAGCGTGGTTTTCTTCAGGGGAAAGTCTCAGTTCTTGATTTAAGCCTGGAGTCTTTTGGTTTGGGAAGGGGGTCAGTTTTCTTTAGTTGTGTTGTCAAACGTGGAGAGTTTTTCTAGATGTGTTTTGTTCAGTTTGCAATAGACATGTAGCGATTGATGAGACAGTTACTACTTTTTGCTCTGTCTTAAGCTCTTTCAGAAAGTAGTTAAATGTGCTTAACTCTGAAAGTGAACACTAGGTGGTACCATTTCATAACTGCAGTTACACTTGATGCTTCAGGGGACTGTGCTGGAGCTGAACTGGTCACTCCAGCAGTTTTTTACAAAGGACATAAACTGTGATAATATCCTTTTAATTAGGGTATGTTTAATTTCTGAGTCTATTTCTTATTCTGACAGATGGTTTGTGGTTCAGGAAAGTAGACAAGAGTTTGATTAGCACTGCTAAGCTATCACATAAGACAGAAGTAAAAGAACTTTGCAATAAAATAGTAAAACCAGCTTCATAGAAGATGAGGTGACAAGCATAAACTGAAAGACAGTGGTTTTCCCAAAATTCGCCTTTGGTTTCCCATTTGGTTTTGAACTTGTATGTTCACAGGAAGCTGAAAAAAAAATTGAGACATGACATCAATGTGCCAGAGTCATCTGGTTAGAAATGACCTGTTTTCACTTCGTGTTTTAACACTTCCTTTATCAAGTCAGCATTCTATTTTTTAATTCAAGAACTGTAAGTAGAAATTTGGCAATTCACTAGTAATACTGAAGGTCTAGGAAGCATCTGTTGCACATTAACGACAAAGTTTCTTTTCTTTGGAGCAAGGAATAAAATACCTTTTAAAGATTATGCAGTAGTAAGGGCATTGAAGAGCCATACTGTTGTTCTGTTTCTTTTAGGAGCCAATGTGTAAAGTGTAGAATGGGAGATCAGAAATCACTGACGTAAAGAGTCAACATAGATTTTAAATCAATCATAGCAATACAGTTAAAAATCCAGCATTTTAAAATTACCCATGCTGATTTTTAGTTGGTAGCAGTATAGTAGTAAGAGGAAAGTTTTAAAATATTACATGAAAATTGAACAGCTAAAGGGAATAATAGATCCTGATGTCATCCATATACTTTATTTTTAATTTCTTTTTCCTAGTAGCGGTCAAGTCCGAAACCAATCAGAGTGACCCACTGAGTGCACTGCACTTGGGTTTCATGCTGCCATTTCTACCTTGACTATGAATTATAAGCTACAGTCTAAAAGGCTGATGATGGGGATCAATCTTTCTGGGATGGATCCCTCCATCTAGCAACTAGCAGCTGAGTTCTGTTTGACTTCAGAGCTGTCCTAAGTGTAGTACATTTTAATTTGCAGGAGGCCAGAGCAACAGTGTGCTAGTAGGGTAGCAACTATTTTCTGGATGAAGGGTTTCCACATTAGTGCCATTTTCAAATGGATTTTGTAGTTTACTTAAGCACTTAAGACAGATTCATTTTTACTGAAAATGGGCCAAGTGAATAGTGATTGTTGCACAGTGTCACCTAGTGTCACCTAGGAAATCTGGTATTTAAGAAGTAGGCATTCTAGTTCTCCCGTTACTGATACATTTTTCAAATTGTGATGCTTTTTGGATAGTGTCCTTCAGGACCTTAGATTAGTCCCTAAAACTAATATTTATTGTGTTTTCCAGAACCTGTTGCAAAATGAAATGCAGGTCTTTGACTCCAGGAGCTAAGAGACAAATGTTCTCAGCCAACATGACTCAGACTATTACAAAATATAACACTTACACACTTTTTTATCTACAAATACAGATATTCTTTGTTTTCTCTTTGTGGGTACGAGTATAGCACACTAGTTTTTAGTATAGCATGCCAGTTTTTAGTGCAGGCTGAAATTACCTTCATTACACCTGTAGAATCATTAAAAAGTACTTTTGATTTCAAGGTAGAGGAAGTGGAGAATTGCAGGTGGATTTTTTTCTGTTAAACAATAGTTCCCTCCATGTTAGAGAGACTTGCATACTTTAACCACATTGAAGTGCTTAGACTGATAAAAGCTTCTAGTTTAAGTGTTGCATACATGTGGAATGTATTTAAAATTAGAAGCTAATGCAGTGATAAATGACACCAGAACTGGTAGACCACATTGCATAGTGATGTTTTTTGGACTTTCAACTTAATAACTATTTTTATTTGATTAGTCTGGTGCAGTTTTCCCTAATCTCCGTGAGGATTTTTAGACTAAAGACTGAAAAGCTGGGGGGGCAAAAAGAAGGGGAGAGAATTTAGGAACACCCAAGTGCTGTTGAACTATGGCACTCAGTAGGCTTTGACTGTCAGAGGCTGAGGAGTAAAGTAATATTTTTTACCATGCAGAAGCAGATTTGAGCCCTGCAGACCTGTACTTAGCTCTAAACAGTGTGTGGTGCATACTTCTGTATGCTGTGTGCTCAGGTACCGTGTGTGACACATTTGAAACAAATTATACTGAATCACTAACAGAAATAGCTACAATATTCTTATACCTGTGTTTTAGATGAGAGAAAATGGCTTCAGTTACAAATTTGCGTTTCACATTATTTTAACTATTTCACTGTGACAGTATTGACTGAGATCGGTGCTAGCTTAAAACTGCAAACAGTTTGTTTATCCTAGTACATGTTGCAAAGTGTCTTAAAACAATTCTGCTTGGCAACAGACAGTATCACCAGGCAAGAATCCAGAGAGGAAAAAAAAATCTGTTTAGTCTAGGCACTTTTCGAGGGGAGAAATCCTTTTTTTCCTGAGCATGGAAGACAATTCTGTGCTGATATGAATACTGTATTTCCACCAAATAAAAAAAATCCGTTGCTTTGTCATTACAGCAGGATCAAGATTGCTTGTGTTCTTCTTTGTTTTGTTGCTTTGGGTTTTTTTTTTATTGATCAGAGTGATAACAAACTGAGATTGGAAACATACTGAAAGACATACAAACTCTAATAATACTGTGAATAGTGCTGAACTAACAGGTCTTGATCTTGACTAGAGAACTGTGGTTTATAATGACTGTTTCAGCAAAGCAAGTTAGTTGAGTATTTGGTTTTTTGTCTTTTCCAGGATCAAACTTGAATCGCTGTGGATTCAGAGGCTCTTCATATTTAGGGATGCCATTCAATCCTTCCAAGGTCAGTTAAGTGTGTATGTGTGCGTGTAAAATGTTTCCAATTATTATATAAATGATCTTGTGTCTTTTTTATAATATTAACTGCATAGTTACAGAATGTCTGGAGGGCAGGGATTTTTGCATTGTTATTACACTGAAGTGTTTTCAGAGCTATTAAGAAACATGCATAAGAAACTTAGTAAAATAGTACCATTTGAGTTTGCAGGGCAGCAAATAAATTGACATTGTGACTTGCCTCAGTGCATTCTCCCCCTTGTCTTATCTGTTACTGAGGTAGGGAAACTTCTCTAACTCAAGAGGTATCACCTGGTAGAGAAGGGCAGAATAGCTCAATCTTAAGTGGTACACCACATGCTGTTCTTTAGTATTGCTCTTCCTGCGATGAAAACTGCGTATTTGATTGCACCTGATATCCACTCAAACATAGGCAAGGCTCTGCTCATCCCAGTTTGTTGTGGCTGTAAGAGAGGATGCTTTGAAGCCCATGGAAGAGAGTGAAATCCCTATACAAAAAGAAAGTGCCTTTAATACAGGAGAGAAAGGAGGTTTGCAGGGGCTGCTAAGGATGGTACAGAAGGTCTGACACGATTGGAAAAGGGAAGTAGAGGCCAGTGTGCAGGAAGGACTGTGAAAGAGGTACAGTGTTCTGTGTTCGAGAGTGAAGAGTCAAATCTCAATAGAGTGGATTAAAAATCTGGAAGAGCACTAAATTATCATTAAGTATTTAATGTTTGTAGTGGACAGGTAGCAAGATTTTACATATAAATGAATGAATGAATCTTGGGATCTGAAATTGAAAGCAGGGATGAGCATCTCGTATGCTAATGACTGTCATTGAATGTAAAAATGCTTGAACTGACTTGAGTATGAAGGTGGTACAGCAGCCAGTTTGGGCCTTATTTTTATTTACTCTTAATGGCATCACTGTATGCTTCTGCATAACTTGTGGGAATGTTAATCTGCATTGGAGTAATAACTGCATATGCCTCTTTGCCTAGCAAGTCAGCCAAGTATTCATAGCAGTAATATTTAGAGTTTTTACTTGCTAACAGGGGTAAAATAATTGTGAAGAGGGTTTTTTACATCTCTACCTTGGGAGCTACAGCAGCATGTGACAGGCAAGGTCATTTGTCTGTTGTTTTGCTCTGGTATTTTTCCTCTTTTACACTACAGATGGTGTCTGCAGTGAGCTCGGACTGTAGTAGCGTGACAAATTCATCATCTGTTTTAACTGGAATTAACCTCAGTAGCAATCCAGCCACCTGCTGAGCTTAATGGAAGAAAGGAAAACTTCTACTTAAAACCTAAAACAATTTGGGATTTTTAGTAGTGACTTACTGGGATACTTTGTTAAAAATAAAATTTAAAGACAAAATAGTAGACAATAATTTCAGTGTAATTGTCTAAGAGAGAGACTGGTCTTACTCAGAAGGAAGATGATTGTCTTAGGTAACAGTCACATGGACAAACTGAGGTTGCCATGCTATTATTGTGGCATAACAGCATTACAGAATGAATAAACACATAATTTTATCAAACTGAGATAATAAATCAGTCATGTTTCCTCAAAGGTTTGGGTCTGTGCCATGTCGTGTGTTACAATAAATCAGTGCATGCTTTTGGGAACTGTTTTTCAAATCCTCCCCAGGGTATAAAGCTTCAGGAGTGAGTTCTGGATATAGTTCTGAGGTCTTGTAAAAGCCCCTGAAGACAAAAAGTCTGTAAGACTGACAAAGTGTCATTATCCCTTCCCAGCAGTTTCTGGTGTTTTAATTTAACTCTCAACTTCCAATAGCACATGCTTCAAACTTAAGTACTCTCTTTTCAGGAAATGTGACCCATCGGTGTCTCATAATGTGTTAGCCAATCTGCCGAAGGGACAAAGGGGTGGAATCGAAGGGACACATCTGAAGTGTTTAATTATCTGTGGAAATTAGCTACGAGATCATTATCTCTAGAAAACTGTTTGCAGATGGATGTGCTTTTTATTTGAACACTGCAATACTATTTTCATTGCATCTGCTTTAGAGGGATCAGATCTGCTTGACTTATTGGCATACAAAGGTTTAAAGTATTTCCAGCACTGTTGCCTAAAAATGTTCTGAAGTAACTCAGAAAAAGAAAGACTTGGAAATCCACTGTGATGACTTTGAATTATGTTTAAGGCTTTGCCATTTTTCTTTATTCATCATTTTAAGAAGTTCTATTAAATTATGTCTTGAAAAATAATGTTTGAAAAAGCCTGTAAGCATTTTGGATTTGCATTGACAGTATCTATTACATACCACTACAGTGATTTCATTCTTCAACTCTCAGAAAGTGCCATACTGGAGGTAGCCAAATCTCTTCTGTCCCTAGAAACCCTTCAAAACAACATTAAACAGCCAGGGATATGTTAGAATTTCCAGCTTAACTAAAAGTTACCAGGATAGCCCATTTGGTTTTGGTTTGGGCTTTGTTTTTTTCAGCTGTTACGCTTTCAGTGTTTGATGGTAGTGTCTGTGCAGCTCTTTGGGACTGTAGGAAAAGTGGAGCAAAACCAGATCCACTTGACCAACTCATCACACACAGCCTTAACAAGCCCTAGCAGTCTTAACTGTAAATGAAGGCTGAGTGCCACTTACCTCACTGTATTTAAACATAAATTGTTTAAAATTAAATAACATTTTCTGAAATCTCCAGGTTCTGCTCATTCTTTAGAGTTTAAACTAGCTTTGTAATTTAGAGGTGGACAGTCTACTTGGAGTTTCATATGGGCCCATGTCTTTTCAATCTCTTTAAAGTGTTACAAATCAGTTTTAGGGGCTAGATTGAAAGCCAGTACCTGGAGCTTTTGTGTAAAATTGTGGCAAGTAACATATGCTTCCACTTGCGGAATAAAATACCTGTTTTGTCTTCCTGACACAACATTTTTCAAGGCTGAAACAATCCATGTTTGTAACACTGACACAAGGTGTGAGAGGAAGGTTTTCTGGAAGTGGGACTTTGCCTGTACAGGAGTAAGTTTAGTAGCATTCTTTATTAGTGTTTGGAGAGATCTTGCCCATGCTTCTGCAACAGAGGGAGTTTCTTAGCCCTCGCTGCAGTGGTCAGCA